TTGTACCAGACACTTGCTCTGTAATTTTTCTTAAAGTTAAATGTAATGTCCGTGTGTAACTTAAACCTGTTAATAAATACTTGTTACACTATACAGAACTCTTCTATGACCCTATCTAAAATGACTACTTCACAAAATGGCACCCAACGTAAATGTTTAGCTTTAAGAATTTTCCTTGGCTTTTGCTCACTTTTCAGAAACAGCACTTGCCACACCCGCTGGATCTAACTCCTAAAACTTTAGGAAAAGAGATACCTCACCCATCAGGTCTGAATTTATTTTATGTGTGCCACTCCGATGGCCTATCAGCAACAAATATTTGTTGTTAACGATATGAGTTGTTTTGCATTTAAACACTAATGTTCTATAATGTGTTAAACCTTAATGCTGAAAACGTGAAAATACTTAAATATAAAAACGTAAAAATACTTTACTGTGTTCTTAAAGTATATATGTATATCTTTTATGAATATTGTATTATCTTGAAGTGATTAAGAAATTCTTTCATTTTGTTTACATATAATGAGTGCTTGAGAACTGCATAATCATAATATTCAGTTGTGTTTCGAAATGGTAAATGTGGTAAAACATAAAAAGTTATAATATATTCAAAGCGAGGCATTTTAAGGGTAAAATTCTGTATTAAAAATTGTTATTATAATATGCTGAATGTATTCAATCTTATAAACATAATTTCGATTTGAGTTTAACTTGGCGAACCAGTGGCTCAATGACATGTTTATTACCCTAATGCCTAAATAACGTTTTATTTATTGATATTTTTTCCCTTGCATTTCAGGTTACATTGCGGAAAATTTTTTATATTTGATGATTTAAAGCAGCATAAGATTCTTTCTGGCAAAATGTTATTTTTTTTTATACTGATTGATACATGTTTCAGATGTGCATAATTCTTTTAGTTTCATAAGTGTATTGCTATCCATGAATGTTTTATTTTGTTCTTTGAGAATAGCAATAATTAATGGAAAAGGATTTTTTTATCAATGTTATTTAAACTGTGCTATTTCTAAGCCTTGTAAAATGTTTTCTTTTAAGGAAGAGAGTCTTTTTTATACATTATTTTGACACTGTGTTACTTTTCATACAACTAACTTTAGTGCTATTCTATAGTAAAATGACTACAAATCTTTTCTGAGTAAGGTGACCTCATTACAATTTTCTAGTTAGTGCCATAATAAATTGTTTTTCATCAAAGAATTTATTTTAAGTGAAACACGTCACCATGTCATTTTTTGCTACAGGACGTAAACAAGATATGTGTGTTCTAGCAAAAGAACTTGGTGTGAATGTTACAGAACAAATGATAATAGTTGATATTAAGGATGCCATTTTAATGAGTAAGGGATATAATGAAGAGTTCACTAAAGATCTATTTTTTAGCATTATTGCGGAACATAAAGAAATAGAGGAACACGAACATAACGAAAGAAAACAGCGTGAGGAACGCGAATATAACAAAAGGAAAGAGACAGAAGAACGCAAGCATGAGCTTGAGAAATTGAAAATACAAGTAGCTAGTTCAGGTGCTAATCATGATTCCATACCTGCTTGAAACTCACTGACACAGATATCCCTAAGTTACAATTACAAACTTTAATTCCTCACTTTAATCCAAAAAGTGATGACATGAACCTTTTTCTCACTTTATTTGAAAGGCAACTAACAATTTTGAACATATCTCAAGGGAAATGGGTAGTGTATCTCTTAGGTTTGTTACCTAATGACATTGCAAAACTAACTGCAAAGGAATCCGCTGGTGATGCACAAGATTATGACAACATTAAACAAATTCTCATAAAGTGTTTTAAATTGAGTGCTGAAAAGTTTCGACAGTTATTATCGCAACGTCGCGAAAGTCCTGATAGTACACGGCGAGATTTTTACTTGAATTTGAGAAATTTCTTAGATGGCTGGATTGGCGAATTAAAAGTCAATACTTTTGAGAAGTTAAAGGACTTGATGATATCAGACCAAATCAAAAGACTGATTTCCCTTCTGAGTATAGAAAACATTCTGTGGATCATTGTCCGAGTGGACTGATCCGCTTCAAATGGCTGATAAATTAGATTTATATGAAGAAGCTAATAACATCAGGAGTAGAAACATCAGTAATAACACTCTAAAGCCGTCTCAACGTAGCGGTCCTAAAAATTATAAAAATAAACCCTTACATACAGTGTCTTTAGAGACACCTCACACGACTCTTTTAACGACTAAAAATCAACGGATTTATGGGAATTGTCTGTGCTGATACTGGCGCTACTCACACTATAGCAGGAGAAACATTATATAAAGTCTTGAAAGAACAAGGATTAGAATTTAAGAAAACTATTATGAAGGTCACTCTTGCCGACGGTATTCAAAGGGACGCAGAGGTCCACACGATCCAGGTAGAGATTCACATTGAAGGAAGATCATTCTGCATAACTTTAGTTGCGCTTCCCTCAGCAAAGGGTTACAGGACACTTTTAGAATTCTAAACCCAATGATCGAACCGAATTTACGTCGGAAGTTGACACTGTACTGTTAACACATTAAAGGCGGGAGTCGTAGTACTACGATTTATCGCGCCTGTAGCTTAAAGCCGGGAGTCGTAGTACCGTGATTTATCTTGATTGTAGCTTAAAGGTGGGAGTCGTAGTACTACGATTTATCTCGACTGTAGCTTAAAGGTGGGAGTCGTAGTAGTATGATTTATCTCGACTGTAGCTTAAAGGTGAGAGTCGTAGTACTACGATTTATCTTGACTGTAGCTTAAAGGCGGGAGTCGTAGTACTAGATTTATCTCTACTGTAGCTTAAAGGGGAAGTTGTAGTACTGTGATTTATCTTGATTGTAGCTTAAAGGCGGCAGTCATAGTACTACGATTTATCTTGACGGTAGCTTAAAGGCGGGAGTCATAGTACTACGATTTATCTCGACTGTAGTTTAAAGGCGGGAGTCATAGTATTACGATTTATCTCGACTGTAGCTTAAAAGCGGGAGTCGTAGTAATACGATTTATCTCGACTGCAGCTTAAAGGCGGGAGTCATATTAGTACGGTTTGCAACCACATTGTGCAATCCATGCGCCACTTTACATTTGTATTTAGTATCTTTTGTGGTTTGAAGCTGTTCGGTTGTTCAAATTCTGCTTACAGCAAATTTTGAAATCCTTCAATATGATTTCACGTGAAAACAAAGATATATATGCGGACGATTTGATGGACATTGAAGAGCCACAACCTGATACATCGAACTCGGCACCACGGACTCCACGATATAAAATTGATCCACCTGGACGTCTTTCGCTAGACATCAAATAGCACAAATTAATTCGGATAGAAAATATAGGCAAAAAGCTATATGCCCAACGAAACTGCGCAGTTTGTGCGGCACATAAAAAAAGAAAGTAGATTTGCTTCAAATGTGAGTTTTGCAATGCACCTCTTCACCGTGGCGAGTATTATCAACATTATCACACTCATAAAAAATACTAGATTCTTCTCATAAATATGTACTTTAAAATATTTTTTGTAATTATTGTTTAGTTCTTTTTTAATATTTCTTTAATTAATTTTAAGAGTTTAAATAAACTTTTTTAAGTCTAAATTTTTTATGATTACACAAAATATCACCCGCTCTAGGACGAAAAACGAGGTGGGGCAGTCGCCATGTTACCTAGCATACTTTCGTCAAGATCCCCCGCCTTTAATGTGTTAAGAGAATGTGAAGAACAACATCTATCAGCTCATCAAATATCACAATTAAATGAATTATTGAGTCAATATTCAACTATTTTCCAACCGGTCATCAGGTGATAAAGTATGGGTCAATTTACATCCCATTAGCAATGCAAAAAACAAAGAAACTTCAAAGTTCATACCAAAGCATGACGGTCCATACTTGGTAATGACATAGAAATCACCTACTTCCTATGTCATTTCAAGCCTTCATAAACCATCAGAACAATTAGGAATGTACCATACGTCTGCACTAACACCTTTCAAAGACTCGTCCACTTCTCTCATTCTTCCGCTGATGAAGAAAGGAAGGTAGGCCGCCAAAAGTTACTTTGCATTCCCGAAATAAGCAAGAACTTGTGGTTCCGGACGGTGCTTCAAAGAGAGGTCCCCTTGCCCAGGAAGCCCTGCCCCCCCAAAAAAAAAAAACAACTGAGATTAGAGAGAATGTTACAAAAGCTCCCAAATCCTGCAGTTCTGTCTCCTTGCCGGGACGTCGGCGGAGCCAGAGGGGGAGTTTGTAACCAATCCTTTAACACTGTTGGACTAACTGTGACAACAAGGCTGCCCTCTGGTGAGTAGCCAGAGAAGTACTTTAGTTAAAGCCAAGTGTCCCACTTGATAGGTTGTACGAGACTCTTGCGTTGTAATTTTTCTTAAAGTTAAATGCAATGTCCGTGTGTAACTTAAACCTGTTAATAAATACTTATTACACTATACAGGACTCTTCTATGAGCCTATCTAAAATTACCCCTTCACAAGTTTTGATTTTTAATTAAATTTGATTTCTTAATTTTTTACAAAATTGACTTAACATTTAAAGAACATAACATGAATATTTTCCTGATTTAAAACATTTCTGTAATTGGAAGTACATATCTATGACCACAAGTCATGAAAATAAAGGTCACATTAAGCATTTTCGATTACACATTCTACATCACATTAGCGTTAGTAACTCTGACAGTTAAAATCCACAATAAATTTTAATTTATATATATATTGGTATTTACATCATACATATTATATTGGTATTTACATCTAGATAAGGAAAAAAGCCTGATTTATTATATTAAAATCAAAGTTCTGTAGTTCAATTACTGTGTGGTCCATATGTGCATTATTTACAATTTTCAAAACAAGCATTTCTTTAAAATTAAAAAAAAAAGTAAAACATTACCTCTTAAATATTATGCCTTACTCTTGCAAGCTAATACTCTACAGCAACAGTAAAAGTAAAATATAACTCATAATTACCTTCTCAAAGGATTCCCGAGTTTCAGGTTCCCCAGGCCACAACTTATGTCTGTCTTTCTTGTCCAACTGAGCATTAAATGGTAGACCAGATGGTGGAGGTGGGAGGGTGAGCTCCACCATAGCTGGGGGGATATAAATGGGATGAGGAGGGATAGGAACAGCCTTACCCCAGCCAAGTTTCATCTCGAAACTCATTATATCCTTTCCTTAAAAACAGAAAGAACATGTTTCAAAAGAAATTAGCAACTGAATCACACTATATTGATAAAGTCATTTCAACACAAAACAGTAAACAAATACAAAATATTTTTAATGAAAAAATGAAGAATAACATATCTAAGTTGCAGAGTGAAAAATGAGCAGTGAATAAATGTTTGACATCAATAAAAAGTATGATTAGAAATTAAAATCTCATACATTTTCTGATTTAAAAAATGCTGAGTATTAAGCAAAATTTCAACACACACACATATAAAAGGTAATTTAATAATAAAACGCTTGAGCCAGTTAATATGGAATTTTAAGCAATTTACTTGAATTTTTAAGACATGCTTAAGAAAATTCTTAAATGTAAGATAGATTATCCTAACAGAAACAAAGTATGTGTATATATTGAAAGGATCTATTTAAGTAAAAAGTAAAACTTCTGAAAGCTGCATAACCTGATTAAAATTACATAATTTTGCAACATGCCTGGAACCTGCAATTGTTATCATACTACAATATCAATTATAAAAAAAAATTACATATATATTAATCTCCCTAAATCATTGTAAGTCAGTCTTCAAATTATTTTGTACATCTTAAGCAATAACTGTCGGGGAGATAAACGATAAATGATAACACATAGGAATACCTAAAGGAAGATTTAATTGCAGAATAAAAATGTTAGTTGGCATCAGGAAACAAAGAATAAAAATATGCAAAAAATTTTCTTTAAAAAATAAGCATTTCCTGGAGGGAAAATTTTGAATAATTTTCTATTTAATCTCTGGAGAAGGGACTTTGAATTTTTTTCTTTAAAAAATAAGCATTCAAAATTAAAATGACAACATAAAAAGTATTTTAATTATAATCATTAAATATCACATCAATAATTCAAATAATTACTACTTACTAATTAATACATTTTCTGTTTAGTATTCCTCAGAATTTAGAAAAAAATCAAATAATGTGTGTGCATATGTATATTAGAAAAAAAGTTTAAAATAACAAGGATTACCATTCAGGTTTTTCATAGCTCTCTCTCCATCTTTTCTATTCATAAAAGCCACAAACCCACAATTCCGACCCCTTGCACGTTCCTCATCAGAACGTGGCCACATGATTTTCACACTCGCAAGAGGGCCAAAACGACCAAATACTTCACATAACTGTTGCTCTGTCATCTAAAATAAATATTTAATACAGGAATCTGCTTTCAGTATTTCAGGAAACATAAATATCAGCCAAAAAAATATGAAATAGTATCTAAATCTGGTATAATACCATTGCCAAAGCACAGCCAGAATAATCAACAGACAAAAATATTTCACACTTACGTTTCATACTAACTTATGTTGGGAGTACTAAATTTACTTTTGTACATTTTTCTTTGGACATTTTACAGTGTTCCTATCTTATCATAATCTCACTTAACTATCTTCAACAAACAAATACAGTTGCAAGATATTTTGTAATTTTTAAAATATTTATATATAATTTAGGTTAGTGCAAAATAGTGGATACACATTATGTCACAATCATAAGATCTTTGCTATGCTTTTTAAGTACAGTACCCACCACTTATTGCACTCAGTCGTTTATTTCATTCAATTTGCTGGCACAAAAAAAAAATAAATAATAATAATAATAATAATAATAATAATTAATTACAAAAAAAAAACAAAAATACTAAGCAGAACGAAAATCACAGTTAATTAAATGCAGACTGGTAAAAGACTGATTCTTCAATGCCAGAATATCCTACTTGTACCTATCAAAGCTTTTCGTAGTTCATTCATTTAACATTTAATTTATTGAGGACTATGGCTTTATCATTCAGGTATGTAGTACTTCAATAAAATGAGTTTGACCAATATTTTTCTCCCCCTGTACTGAATTCTTTGTCTATACAGAACTTCTTAACTGGCAGAATTTTCTTATCTTAAGTTTAATATAAAACAATCCTCTAAAGATACTGTAAAAGAGCAAGGGTTAATTCTTGAATACCAGCTGATAGGAGGTGGAAGTGAACTTCTGTATCCCATCTTGGTTTTGACATTCAAAATCTCTTTGACATAGGAAATTATGTTTACAGAAAGTGATTAAAAAATTTCAAGAAATGCTCCTAAGCATTGCCATAAATTAAGTCTTTGAATAGAAATGGTCACTGCAAACAGAAGGAGAAGCATGCAAAGTATTGGTCATGCTTGTAAATGTGAAGTGACAGATTGACAAAACAGACAAAGGGCAATCTTTCTGCTGGCCAAAAACATAAATTTTGATATCTCTGTTATAGGCATTCTTACTGGAAGAAGCATTTCAGCAAACTAAATTTAAACTGGGAGTTTCCAAAACAGTACTGCTCAATTTACCTAAACACAAAATTTTAATTAATGAAGAATTAATAAAAATGCAAATGTCTCAAGGAAGTGCAAAAAAGAGAGAAAATCAAGAGGCACTCTGAAATTCATTTTCTAGCATGATTTCAAGCTATATAAAGATAGCTAGAACTTTTTTCACTAATTTGCTAATTGGTAGGAGATAATTTTATATCAATTGATGTATGACTGAAGATGTATTGATGTATGACTGCATCAATTGATGTACGAGTTGAAGAAAGAGAAATTCAACACTGTTTGTCAGAAACAGTATGGTGTGAATGAAGAAGCAAATCATCCTGCAACTGACAGATAGATAAAAGATGTTATGCTTGAGCTGCTGATAAATACAAGGCCACACAAAATTTATAATACAGATGAAAGTGAACTGCATTGCAGAACATTATCAGAACACACATTAATATTTACAAGTGAAATAGCAGCTGGTTTAAGTAACTGAAAGAATGTTTTACTGAGTTATTAATGTGCAATATGGATCTAAAAATTAAGAAGACAGCAGAAATCCTCAGTGTTTGCAGGGAGTCGCAAATTTACTTCTACCTTAACTACAGCAACAAGACCCCATTAGTGACATATTTATTTTTACTAGCTTTCATTTGAAATGGGACAGTGAATCGAAAAATGCAAAAATCGCTTTACTGATTAGATAACAGTGCAAAAAACTAAGATTAAGGATTAATTGGATTTAAATAAACTAAAGTGAGGACCTTCTGAGTAAAATGTGGCATCACCCTTATTCAATACTGCCACTGGATCTCACAATCTGGTGATAGGGTTTGTTTGTCAAAAATGGTCAAAGGGAACACACCTTTAATTCTTTCATATTCAAGCACAGATCCAGATGCACATTCTTGAAAATGCATTTACAACTATCTGGTCATAACGAAAATTTTCTATCAAAAAACGTTTTTAAAAATTGGGGGGGGGAAGGGAACCTGAAAGCAGCACTTTTAGTGCAGGCAGTAATCACCACCTAAATCTATGATTTTCTGTAAACATTATTGGTAGTTTTTCAAAGCCTTCAGCCCAGAAACTTGGTGGCTGCAGGTTCAAAAACAGGTCAACATTTTTTTTTTTTTTTTTTGTTCCTATAGCAAATTATAGACCAGCTTCCCCTATGTAAGAAGAGGGAAAAGTTGTTGATTTGGTTGGGTAACAACTGTTATACTGGGATATTTCTCTTGAATGACTTGATTTTCAAACTTTTACTTTAATAACTTACTGCATTTCCCCCTTATATTCACTTTATATGATTTCTTCCTTACTAATTGATATAGCTTTATATCAATAGACAATTATCGATTTTACTATTTTATTAGCCTAGAAAGGCTATTGGTCTCGAAACAGCATTTATCGAAATGAATCACTTTTCAAATTGTTGCCACCAAATATTGTCGCCTTGTATTGTATTTAAAGAAATTAAATAATAAAGAATCTGCATGAATGTGTATGCTTCTCACACTGTGAAAAAACTATGGTACCTAAAGCCATTCAATTTTCAATAATGTAGTCCTCCACCTGAACATGGCCACCTGAAAGCCCAACTTTTGAATTTGAATTTGTTTCATTATTTATTTCATATTTTGTAGAACTAACAAATTTTTCATTAAAAAACTCAATGATTTCAAAGTGAGCAGGGGCAACACTGTACAAAATAAAACACTTTTTTTCCTCCAGTGTGCAAGACTATATATTGAAAATTCTATTTGGTTTTGAATTTCTATATTTGGTTTTTATATATTTTTAGCCCAAAGGGGGTGTTACTCAAGTGCTCTCAAAACATATGTGTATGTGTAAATGGGGAAAACACCTCTTTGGGAATAACATAAAGTCTGAAAGCTTTCAGATTTTTATATTACTATTATACTTTAAAAAAAAAAAAAAAATTTTTTTAATGTTTTTATTTTTATCAATGGAATTTTGATTGTGCCAAAAAACTGATGGTGCCTATTCAGCTATTGACTGCCTGATCATAACTGCCCCTTTAAAGTTTCATCAACCACCAGTGGCTCAATAATAACCCAGGTGGGAATTCCCGATTTAAACCATTGCTGAAAAACATGAAGTATAATTTTTATTGTTTTTTTCTTTTAATTACAACTGAAATTTTATTTTAGTTTAGATTAATATTTTTAAAAACACTCACTTTTGGATTCAGATTTCCTAGGTACAGATTTGTAGTACTTGGATCACCTGTATCATAAGACCCATAAGAAGGATATCTATAGTCATCAGCTGAAACAGTACACAGTGGATTTAACAACTTCTTTTATTCTCAATGCAGAATAATTCATGAATATTCATTTACATAATCTAAAACATATGACACACTATCTATATGAGTTAGGTTGCATTAGCATTATTTGGTATATATTTTTATCAAATGCACATGAAAATTGGAAATTTTAACAAAAAGTGGTAAAGCTACAACATGTAATAATGTATATAGCATAGAACAAGAATTAATGTTTGGAACAAGCAAGTCACACATAAAACTAGTTTAATTACATACATGAAAAATTCACACATTCCAAAAATTTAATTTGAATGAGCTATTTTCTCATGAATCTTTTCCTTGCAAAAAAAAAGGAAAACAAAATTTTCAAATTTTTAATGATTAAATCACAAATGTTACAGAAAATCCCTAATAATGTATCCCTCTGATTCCATTAAAATATTAAAAATTAACTATATGCCTTGACTATTGCAGACTGAAACATTTCCAGAATGCAAATCAATAGCAAGATGAATATAATTTAAGTATCAAAATAATGTTCTGGTTGTGAAACCAAACCGTGTCAAACCACAGTTTCATATTTAACAGCTCATGTTTGTACCAACTATATTACTATATTGCTTTTACATTTCATTACAAATGGTTGATACCTTTACAAAAATAAATCTTACAGAGAGGACCTTTTTTTTTTTTTTTTTTTTTTTAAAGGGGGGGGGCTACTTTTGCCTCACATGCAAAAGTGGTTCAGCATTATACATAAAAGTTCTGAAATGTACCCTGACAAAGTCTCTAAAAAGTAACCAACTTCTAATTTCTAAGAAGTATCCCATTGTAAAACCCCTAAAATGCATCTTTAGAATCAAGATTTCTACATACCACAAATTTTCTGGATCTTTGTTTACATTTTCTCCTTTCTGTTTTTTGTACTAAATTTGGTTTGTTTCTACATAAACAACTAACCAAACCATACCTTAACAATTATTTAAGCAGAATTTGAATACAAATGACATACAATGTTTTTCAGAAAATAAAAAAACTCTCATATAAAAATGCATCGAAATACTTTAAGCAAATGTGTGCGTCTGTGCATATATATATATATCCATCAGTGAAAATATTTTTTTTCAGTAACATTTACTGCCAAAATGAAAGAATAAGTACATAAACCAATGCTAATTTTACTATTATATTCTATGTAGGTGCTAAAGAGTTAATAACATTACTAGAAGTATATGAAAACTACTAGAATTGAAGTTTTGGATTTATTCAAAGAAAATTTCTCATATTCTTCAGAATCTTGCTACCACATTTTCTTGTCTAATGCAAGTGCAATTTTTACAAATTTATCTGCGATTTATGTGAACAAGTTTGTTCATGATGCACAGTATAAACATATCAGCTATAAGGCGTGTTTAAGCTGGAACTCAGCACCTGAAAAGTTGTGGATAAATACTTTCCACATGTTAACGACATAAAATTCAAAATAAAAGACAGCAATACTTTAATGTACACTGATTAATCATTAAAGTAATCCTTTAATTTTTCTGATTAACCAGTACAATAATCTGTGCTGATTTATCTAAAACCAAAAAATATGCAAAGATTCACAATCTGTATTTACTGTCAAGAGAAAGGAAGGAAAAAAGAGAGAGGATATATAGGATATACCAAGAAAATGTTAAAAAAAACTCTTTAATAGAAATATGTTATAGCATGTTTTTATTTAAAAAAATTCTCTGCATACCTGCATAAGAAAAAAATTATGTGCTCAGTTTTCTAAAAACTGAAATTTTGCTTGCTTACTTAAATGAGCACTGATCACAAGCATTTCTGGATTATGAAAATTCAACTACATATGTATTGCACATTTAAAAAATCAACAATGAAATGAGGATAATACAGGGTGTTATAAATGAACAGTGCAGTTTTAAAAATTAATAATAAATCAATGTATTATCTTACCCATGGTAAAACCTACACTGTAAGTTTTGGCAACTGTCCAAGTTTCTCATATGCTACCCCGTCTTCGCTTGTCATGTCTACTGTGCAGCTGCTGAGTCAATTTCCAAGATGGTGCCGCAACAGGAAAAGGCTTCCTGTGTGCTACATTTTGAGGTGTCCAGATCTGCGGTTTCAATGCAACGTGAGTTTCGTGCACATTTTCTGTGCAATGTCCCATGAGAAAAAAACATGGCCCATTTTTCTTTGAAGAAGAAACTGTGATCAGTGACTCATTCCTACACAGGTTAGAAACGTGGTTGTTAGCCTAGTTGAACACCAGTTATTTTGCAACTGGGCAGTGCTCCACCCCACTTTCACAGGAATGTACGAAAGCTTCTTAATTGTGTTTTTTGCCAGTGCTGGATAGGATGTGCTCCAACAGCAGACAACAACCTTCTCTGCTAGCACCTCTTTCGATGGATTTAACACCATTCAATTTCTTCCTTGGGTATTTGTCAAAGGTGGAATTTATGTACTGCGAATGCCTGTGTTCCCTGAGAAAGTTTGTGATTGGCTAAAGCAAGCACTGCACTGTCATTGCGGATGTGCTACAGCTACACCCAGTACTGCGCAGATGTGTGCTGTGTGACCAAGGGTGCACATATTGAAGGACTATGATTAATTCATCAAAAAATTAGACAGTTGCCACTGTTTCTGCAGTAAGATTTGCCCCTACAAATTTATTATTAATTTTTAAAACTACACCATTCATTCATAAACACCATGTATATCAGAGATGACTAATTTCTCTGTGTGTATACAGCAGCATACTTCATATAAGAAATGAAAAAAAAATTTTATTCACTGCATTCTCACTCAAATGTGGATCAAAGGAAGAAAATTACCTAATCTTATTTGCGTTTCAACAGGTTCAACAGGTCTGCCAACTTTCACTTGCTCTTTGACAACATTTTTTAACCTATGTCTTTCTTCTCTTTCTTCTTGGATCCTAAAAGATGTTTTTTTTTAAAAAAAAAAAAAAAAAAAAAAAAAAAAAATTTAATATAGATAATACGTTTGCGTAAAATACAAGGGGGGCTATTAATTTTAAGGACTACTCTAATAACACCAGAACAGGTGATGTGAAAAATATTACCTTTTAATATGTTTTAAAGCAATCCCCATCTGCCATAATACACTTCTGTGCTCGGCTGTATAAGTTGTGGAAACAACTTTTAAAGTCCTCTTTCGGAAGGCTCATCAATGTCAACGTCACGTTGCATGACAACACCCACCCCCACATTGCATTCCTAGTGAAGAGGTTTTGGGCCAAGCTTGAGGTCGTGGAGCTGCATCATCCACTATACTCTCCTGACTTGGCCCCACAGACTTCTTTTTGTTTCCCAAACTAAAAACTGTGATGAAAGGAACACGCTTTGTGGCTGTTGAAGACATCAAGAAGAACGTGACATCAACATTGAAGAGCCTTCCAAAAGAGGACTTTAAAAGTTGTTTCCATAACTTATACAGCCGAGCACAGAAGTGTATTATGGCAGATGGGAATTACTTTGAAACATATTAAAAGGTTACGTTTTTCACATCATCTGTTCTGGTGCTATTGCAGCAGTCTCGGAAATTAATAGCCACACCTTGTATATAGTATTTTTAAACAGAACATTTAAGGGTACTTTTTAGCAGAGTGCAGCTTGGTCTAAACATAAATGTTGAAACAAAAACTAATCATAGCGAGAAATGGCAACCTTGAAAATAAATAGTCATATGAAAAGAATGGCTATTTTATTAAATTCAAAACAAATACAGGAACAAAGGCAAATATGAAAGTATGTAACTATTCTAATTGATAGAATTCTACTACTCACATTCTTGATACCAGATGTAAATAAATTAAATAACTTTCAAAGGAGGAGCACACAAACTTTCCAACGAGCAACTCCTTTGTAAACCTTTCTTTTTGTACATTGCCTTTTCTAGTTCCAAAAGCAGTAAAACACAGTTTTATATTGTAGTTACCTAAATAGTCTTTTATTGGGTGCATAAATATGATTTCACCTTTTCTAATAGATATCTTTAGTAGAACTGCTTGTATGCAACTGAATAAGAGTATGTTTGAAAGGTTTGATAGTAATCTTTAAAACGTGTTTAAAGTATTACTTTTAACGTGTTTAAAGTATAAATAATAATTATTTGTTCCTCGCTGAAAATGTTGAGTTTTATGCCAGAAACAACAGATGTGAAAAGTTTATTACAAAGAAAACTGCAGTGGAAACTTTGCTTTATTACACAGGAAACTGCAGCAGAAACATTCCATTTTTCAGCTCGAAATTTGTGGTGAATATGCTGCATCAAATAATTTGAAAAGACTGGTTCTGATGGTTTAAAAAATAATAGCTTTGATAAATGGCATGGAAAATTGATAAAAAATAATTTCAGTTGCTGCAACTAAGTCAGATAATCAATGCCAAATGTTAAAAAAAAAATAAAGAGTTAATCTATCTGAACAAAGCAATGAAGCAAAAAAATTCAAAATATGCTAAAAGGTATGACCAGGTCATTTTCTAACATTTGCACATAATGTTGCAAAAATAGTCAAAGGATCTTGACACTGCTCCTTCTATTTACCTTTTTTTTTTTTTTTTTTTTTTTTCATTTATGCAGAATTGACTTTATGGAGAGCAGTTCTTATGAGGATATCAAAAATTGGTTTGATAACTCAACTAATTCAAAAGAAGCAGACTTCTCTCATAGAATTGATTCGTTATCTGTCAAATGGGAAAATGTTGTAGTTTCTAATGGAAAATACTTTACTCATGAAAAATACTTTACTTTACTTAAATAAATGTTTTCTTCATTTTGAAAGCAATCAGATGTCTTTTAATTACTTAAAAAAGGGAAGACTCGTATTTATACAAAACAGCATGATACCTCTCCATGTCTTGAAAGTACTTATTCACAACTCTTCACCATTTGATAATCGAGATATCATGTAATCCATACTGATTCTTTCTTTCTTACTTTTTTTTAAGTACTTCAATAAAAAATAACTGAAAATATTGAAGGTAAAGTTATGGAATTGATATCCATTCTTCCCACTTATTAATAATAATGACATTACACAGCACTACTCACAAACAGGTTACCATAGCTGGATCTTTAGCTAAAATTCTGACTTGTGCCTCGCTAGCCAAAAAGTACCCGTTTAAGACATCTTTGATTTCAGAGTCTGAATAAATAAATATCTTACTTACATACGTAATTCTTCTTTGAAAAGCTCAAGATTGCTTTTTCGCTTTTCTTTTTCTCGCTTTTTGTTCTAAGGAAATATAAAATAGACAAAAAATGTACAGATTCAATATGAAAAACAGCAAAACATTTCATGATAATACTGAAAAAGTGTAAAAAGCAACTTTATTATAAAACTTTAAAATTTAAAAAATCTATTGCACCATTATCTACAATATTTAACTTACACTTCATAAATGTAATAAATTTTAGAACTAAAATATAAATTCATAAAACAATTCAACTAAATGTATCTGATATTTAACCTAGTATTTATCTAGTATAAAATATATCTATATTTAACATGAGTGTACAAAATAATACAAAAATATTAAAGCACAAAAATTTAAATATGAGTTCTTGATATTTAACCTGTCGCTCAATTCTATCAGCTTTCTCTTTGGCAGTTTCTTGCTTCTCTTCGGGCTGCTTTTTAACAACTTCTACTAACTTTGGTGGTTTATATAACTTTCCAGTTTGTACAGTTGGTTTTTCTTCTGCAATTGATAAGGAAATAATATACATATTTCCATTTCAACAACAAAAAGGAAACTAACGTGCATCTTTAGTATATATAAGCAGAGAAAAATGAATTGATTTACAACTGACTTGCTTTTCTTAAATTAATTCAAAGAAAAACAATAATCATGTTAAAAGATTTGCAAGTAATTAATTACATTTTCAAAGTGCACTCTGAAGTTTTGTCCAAATTAAAAAGTGCTGTAGATGATAGTTCATCACCATTCAGATTCTACTGACTGAGTCTCTTGCCCTTCTCCTACTGTCTTTTAAGCACAAGGGAAATGTACAGAATTATCTCATTTATTCCTCTGTGTGATCTTTTATGGTGTGAATGGTTAGTACATTAAGCTGCCGAGAAGCTCCGCGGTTCAAATATTAGAAGGACATTGTTGATTTTTCCCACTGATAATCCTCATAAATTTTTAGTGGTGCTTGAACTACATGATAGCAAGTAATTTACTCATGACTCGCTGGATTTGGATGAATAGGTCTCACACTTCATGCCAGTCACCCTTTTAGGGAAGAAAAAAAGGAATTATCGCATTTCTCCAGATTGCCCTCAGTCTTATGTATATGACATGAGAGTTAACCCTTTGACGCGCACAATATTATTTTTATAATTTTTTAAACTAAAAACTCTAGAAATTGAATATTATGATCCTAGAGACAAATAATATATGAATTAAAAAAATCTACTCTTGACATTGTTCTGTGGGTGGTGGTCGCACAGTGAAACCACCGCACGTCTAGGACTTTGAAACTTACTGAGGTAGTAGGGAAAAAAAACCTACCTTTCTCCGTGCACGTTTCCAATAAATGACGAAATTTATGAATTTTTTTTTAAAAACGTATGTAGGAATTGCATAACATATTTTTGACATTTTTTTACATTATTTATTATGCGCGTTTCCAATAAATTTACGAATTTTAAAAAAATGTATGTAGGAATTGCATAATATTTAATTTTTTTACAAAAAAAAAAAAAAAAAAAAAAAAAAAAAAAACATCAGAAAAAATTGAAAAAAAACATTTGTAATTTTTCTAGCAGTGAAAATATAAGTACCTATATAATAAGGACATTTGGATAAATGGATTAAAAAAATAAACTAAGGATAAAAAGAACTCAGGTTTTTCCTTTTATTTTTAAAAAAAAAAGAACTTTTTTTTTTAATTTTTTAAATTTCAAGAACTTTTTTTTTTTTTTTTTTGTGTGGGTGTGTGTGGCACTGTTCAAAGCATGTTTTGTCTTGGTACATGCACAGACCCACATGCACTTTCACACATCTTGTCTATGAGGTTTCTTCCTGTGCAACAAAAGGTACACTGCCTGGATTTTAAATTTCACTGGCATATGTCCAGCGTTATGAGTTTCTTTTCACTGGCATAGCGTTATTGATGTCAGAGAAAAGTATTTGGAAAAGAAAGACCTTTTTACTGGGCAGGTGCATGTATTGTTTAGCAATAAAATAACTCGTGGTTTCAAACCCTTTATCTATCCGGGTAAAAATAAACATTCCTATTTGAAAAGCAGCGAATGCCATTGAGAAGCAAGCCAGTGGTTTTCAAGCGCGACCCCGAGCCTCTACAGGATTGTAAGCATGTGACGCAATGCTCTAGTGGCGCCCCTGAAACCACAAGCAAATGCCATACATATAGAGATTTTTTTTATATATGCAAATTATTACTGCAATTTTTTATTGGTTTATGATAGAAATCATGATGTGGGATGACTAACTTTGAAATTTAAAGTGTTTATATTATAAAAGGAAGTTATTTTGTCTCATCGAAAACGAATTCTAAAAAGGCATCCAATCTGAAGTTATAAATACCTAAAACATATATGATTTCTACAGTCATTTGTGTTATTAGTGTAAAGATCAGTAATCAATTCATTTTCACTCAAAAATTTCGGAAAAAAGAGGAGAAAAAAAATTTGAAAATGGTGGTTTCAAGGCGCGACCACCGCACGTTAAAGGTTTAAGCACATCTAGCTAACAAATGGAAGATACATATGCTAAATATCAGTGACAGCACAATTATTGCTCATTTTTCCAGGCAGCTTTCCAAAGATATAACTCCAAAACTTTAAAACATTATTAGCAAAATATTTTCAGATAATGAAGTGTACATTTCATGTATTTATTATATAAAAAGCATAAACACGTATATTATCTGGAAGAAGGAATCTACAAAGCACACTTAAAAGAATAATGAAAATGTGGTCTACAAGAGGCATGTAACACATGAAACCCCTAGGGACTGAACTTAGATCAAGCAAAACAGACATGGTGTTTAACATATTAAGACAACTAACTGGGAGGCAGGGGAAAAAAAAAAAAAAACTGCAGAAGTGCTAAATCATTCAGTGCAAGAATTACTGCAAAGACTGGTGACCTGCAAATCTAGGTGTTACAGACCAACATGCCTGGTTGAGTTTACTGACATAATCCAGCCTCGATTTCTGCTACACTGGATATATAGCTGTAACTTTTACTTGCTCAGAAAAACCTATACAAATTTATCCTTCCTTACCTGTAATCACTAAGTCATATAATGTTTTACAAATTAAAAGAGCATCAAACATACAAAAGCCTCTCTAAATATGCAGTTTTACCTCCTGATCCAGCATTGATTACTGTGCCCCTAACAAACAACTTTCCATGTTTTGCTGGCTCATCAAATGAAGCTAAGAATTCTTCATACACTTCAGCAGCAGCTTTTTCTTCCTCCTAAAAAAAAAAAAAAACACCACCATAGGTACTAATATAAACACAACATGCTATAATAATTGTATAAATAAAATGTAAATAATATAACAAATAAATATTTGAAAATTTATGTTTAAAAAAAAAACTATAACAGCAAAAGACCAAAAATCTACACAACTTGCTGTATGACAAGTGTGCAGATTTCAAGTCATAAATGAAAAATAATTAGACCTAAAAATAAACACACACACAAACAAAATTAAACCATATAAAGGAAATTAACCTTTACAAATAAAACTTATTTGGATGTATAGGCATGCCCCAAAATTATTTTAATTACATAATAAATAATAAATCATCCTATATACATAGGACATCAGGCAAATCCACTGCTACAATTAATAATTCCACTGAATAATTCCCAGATATAACTACAAAAGTATAAATTTTATTTTATTTTTGTGCTAATATATGTAAAATGTTAATCTTATTAAATCAATATTATAAAACTTATTGGTTCTTTTATAAATTAATTATTTTAAGCAAAGGGAAGAGATCCCGATTGGAGGACATTTTTAAGGAAACTTGCCATGTACATGTTACTCATGTAGAAAACAACAGAAACAACCATGCAACCATAATACAACCAACAGGGAAACAACTACTCACTGAGATTCAAACAATGGACTTAACTACCAGTGTTCACAGACTACTGCTAAGCGATTGGAGGGATATAGAACAAAGGAGAATCTACTATGTAAAACTGCTAAGAGCTGATATAATAAAAAATTAAGTAAAAACATCATATTAGTTGAGCATTTATTCAAAATAAAAATACAAAATTGTCCTGCAAATGATAAAAAGAAGGTTCCATAACACCTAGAACATCATAGTTTATAGAATATTATAAGAAATACTATTTTGCATAAAATGCTGCAAAACATTTTAACAAGAAATCCAGTATCACATTTTTATAGCATGTAAGTGTAGAGAAACATATCATAGAAACAGTATTTATTTTGCTTTTCTACAAATACAACAAAATATATTTGATTATACATTTGAATTCAGTTACAATTAAATAATAAAATTCTTTATAAAGTATTAAAATAATAATCATTGTTACTAGTTTTATGATTTTCTTCAAGTACTTAAAACATACTTGTTGAAATTTATGCTCATCATCGTAACTTTCAGATTATAAAAGCAGAATACCAGGAAACAATTTCTTATAACTATAATAATCAATATTAAGCAACATTTGCACAGAAATCTACCTTTTGCTTGCCATAAGTTAAATAAAAACATTGTTGAAAAAAAACTTTTTTATAGTGCTAGTAACAAGATTATTTTATTCAAGCATGTTTTTCTTTTTCTAATTTTAGTACTCCCATCTATTGAATAAAACTGGCATCACACAGAAAAAATAATGTGAAGTGACCTATATATATATATATATAGGAACATTAGTCAGATGTGGGTTAAAAAAGCACATAAAAACAAATGCCTCCTTATGACTTTTTTCAATAGAGAAATTATTAATTTTACAAAAGAAGAAAATACAAATAAAATAATTATAAAAATTACTTTTTACATTTTTCTAATATCTGTTCATGGTAGTTTATTTTAAAACTTAAGGATATTTAATCAAATTCATGAAACTTTATTGAGTGCATTAGATACAAATGTTGCATTTTTTTAAGGATATGTTACCATGGATATTCTAGAATTTATGATTATGCCTACAGCTGCACCTTGGCTTGAAAGCAGTTCAGAAATTTCAAACAGCTGATTATAAAAGTAGAAGAATACTGATGATTTATAGAAAAATTAGAAGAGAATTCTACAAAACATTAGTAATGCTTACTGGAATACAGGTATTTTTGGATAAAATGAGTTAATTTTTTAAGCTTTGGTGAGCAATTTCAGTAACCTGCTTTGTCATCATCTGCATCTACACAAGAGACCTGCTTCAGAATGTGTACAATGTAGCTTTCAAGATTATGGATGGAACTTCTTGTATTACTGTTTCCTTTCATTCCTTCATACCAACTTTTGTTTCCCATGCAAGAAGTGAGACTTTATTATTTACAAGTTGTAAGCATTTTTAACTTTAAAATTAATTCTCCATAAAATGTTCAGAATTACTTTTTCTAAAATATGAGATCTCCATTCAAGGATGCTTGGAAAGTTCTGTTAAAGCTTTGTTTTAGACATATAGCACAGCAAAAGGTATTTCCCTGAAAATGCAATTTTTACATAAAATAACCACAGAAGATAAAAACTGTGAAATTTTGATTATTGTTGCCCAAAGACACATTTAGTCCAGAAGCATCGAAACTGCATTTTGCATCGATTCATTATAAATGTTCATTTCACTTTTCAAATTGTTGTCACTAAATATTATTGCCCTGTATTGTATTTAAAGAAATTAAATAATGAAGAATCTGCATGAAGGTTATGTATGTTTATCACACTGTCAAAAAACAATGGTAGCTAGAGGCATCAAATTTTGAATAACTTAGTTCTCCACCTAAATAAGGGCACATAGAAACCCAAATTTGGAATTTGTTTCAATGTCTATTTCATATTTTGTAAAATTTTAATGAATTTTTGATTAACAAAATGATTTCCAAGCAAGCAATGGCAACACTGTATGGGGGCGGTGACATTTTTATTTCTAGCTCATGAGATTGTCTATTTGAAATTCTATGGATATGCCGTTCTTAAATATTTTTTAGCCTAAAAGGAGCAGTCCAAATGCTCTCGAAACATGTATGTGTGTTAAAAAAAAAAAAAAAAAAAAAGTACCTCTTTGGGCCTGTTGAACGTTTTCCAACTTTTTTTTTTTAATGATACTATTTTTACTTTTTTTTTTTTTTTTTTTTTTTTTTACCAACTAGATGATAATGCAAAAAAATTAATGGAAGGATGCAGATGAAAGGAAAAAAGCTAAATGCACTTTACATAATCATAAAACTAAATTGCTCATTAATGGCCTTTAGAGATTCATATGGATGCAATCCTTCATATGTTAAGAGAGTATCAAGAATTGGTATGAAAAACTTTTTAACATGGCCTTCCAAAGCATGAGCAGGCATGACATAAGTGAACAGACTTTTCACTGTTATGAATCAGAAAGAGGACAATATTTAGAACCAAGCAGTCTGTGTAATATTTTGTGACAATGATATTCTGAAGGCCAAAATAACACATGCCATGTCAAGTGTTACAGAGCAAATGATGAAGAATAGGTGACAATAATTGGAATAGCAATCTGATGTTCTCCAAGCTACAAAAGGGAGTACATGTTCAAATTTACTAAAACAGTTGTATATATATATATATATATATATTATAAAAGAAAAAGAAAAAAAAAACTAGAAACTTATAAAAAATTGCTGCAGTTACCATTTCCAAAAAAATCATACATGTCTAATAATAATACTTTCCATGCAATAAATTTTATAATCGGGAAGGATGTCTGCTTACCCTGTATAATGCAAACATAGAGATTATCATGAGAATACTTTCATAAACTAGAGGATAGAATTCCTAGCCATGACATTAGCTTGTTAGGTAAAACTGAGTATAGATAATAATATGAAAACATCCTATTATTTCTGCCAATTCCTTGCATACACAGAAAAACCTGAAAATACACTATGAGGCTTTAAGTACATTAGAATTACATGCCTGATGCCTCTTAATGATAAATTCCACTTAGTTCTTTTTAATGAAAAAAGAAAGATGCATTACCAGATTTCAAATAGGTATGTTTTATGTGTCTAACCATTAGCTAACATCCTTTTTAAGAAATTATATCATCCTAACTATTCCAATTCAAAGCATTTTTAGATTGTTATTTAGCCTCCCCCAAAGAAAAATTTTAAGTAAGTCCACATATATAATGCATAAAATTTGCTTTGATGTATGATAAGAATGTAGCAAAAGCAATTTTGAATCTGTATTGATTAGTCTGAGTAGAACTAGTTACAACAAAATCTAATCTGAGTATGCAATACACATATATTTTACATACACATCTAACTAAACTCAAAATTTTTGTACTTTGTATTTTAAATACACATCAGTGGTACCCTTTTTTATGCACAGATGTTTCTATTGCTACACAAGACTAAAATAATACATTACAGTAAACACCATTTAATGTGATTGTGGTTAATATTATCCACTGAATAATGCTACTAAATTGCTGAAATCCCACCTGTGTTGCATATGTTAATAATATCAAAAAGTTATAAAATAAATTTTTTAAACTGAAGTAAAGTTGCCAAACAAGTTCGAAACTGACTATAAAAATTGCCAAGTGACCCAAAAATGTTGCCAAGGAATTAAGTAACCAAATACGCTGGTTTTGATTTTAATCAATTATTTAAAATTAAGCGAAAACCAATAATAATAATAATAATCTTAGTTTTGACATAGATTTTTAATAACTATGGATTTTTAGGGCGATCAGACACAGATATCTATCTCTTCAGAAGCAATAACATTTCAGCATGAAAACATCAATGCCAAGGTAAATCCCCCCTTAATTTTAAATCTACATTGAGAAGTTCTCTTCCAATGAAGGATATCCTCTGAATATTATAATTAGGAGTACACCATTAGTAAAATAATTTCTAGATACATTCACAGGGTTCGTACATATTTCTGCACACAGAAATTAAGTACTTTTAAGGACCATAAATGAAAAAAATTATGGACCTATGAGCAAATGGGAACTGAATAAATTCAATTAAAAATATTATCTATGCCTGAATTTCACTTTTGTAACACCATCCTATTAAAATAGATCTCTAAGTAGTATGCATTATTACTAAACATGAATCAATGAACATAATTATTAATAAGTTTGAGAATAAAATAGACTTTATGCAATTTATCAGGTTCCAATAAGGTATTAAAGCACTAGAGGTAATAAGTTGTTTTATATTATTTTAAGTCTCTGTAGATGCAAAGAATAAGTTTTACTTGAATTTTTACATTTTTGTATT